CATTTTGCCAACCTATGGACCTAGGGAAAGCGACTCCACTTTTACATTCCAAAGATCCCTTTCTCCCCCACTCTCTCTCCCACGGCGCGTGAGATAAACACACAGTCTATCTTTCTTTAATGAATTGTTGTTGTAACCTCCATCGTGCACACAGCCCACGATGGCTAAAACCAGTCAACCACAAAGCTCGAAGGTCTAAAGGTAATAATTCCCCACTCCCCCAAAACGTTTCATCTTCGTTCATACCCAAACCCACACACTCTACTTGTTCATAGAAACATCAAACCAAACTCAAAGATTTCCTTTTTTTGTATGTCCACATTTGCACGAATTCACACAGATAATTGCGTCTGCTCCACAAGCAACCTCTAAAATTTCGCAGATTTTGGCAACCCTCGAAGAATCCGGCGGGAAATTCCGACTCATGCCATGAATCTGCGGCAACGCCCGACCCCGGCCCGCGGCCGTGCACCCCACGCGCCGCCGGGAGCCGCTCCACACCCGCTACTGTCCGAGCCCTTCAACATCATCCCCGTCCACGACCTGCTCGCCGACCATCCCTCCCTCCGATACCCCGAGGTGCGGGCCGCCGCCGCCGCCCTCCGCTCCGCCGGAGACCTCCGCAAGCCGCCGTTCAACCCGTGGCGCGACTCCATGGACCTCCTCGACTGGCTCGGCCTCTTCTTTGGCTTCCAAGACGACAACGTCCGGAACCAGCGGGAGCACCTCGTCCTCCACCTCGCCAACTCCCAGATGCGCCTCCAGCCGCCGCCCCCCGCGGCCGACCGCCTCGACGCCGGCGTCCTCCGCCGCTTCCGCCTCAAGCTCCTCAAAAATTACACCTCCTGGTGCTCCTACCTGGGGAAGAGGACCCAGGTCCGCATGCCCAACCGCCACAACCCCGATCTCGAGCGGCGTGAGCTCCTGTATGTATGCCTTTATCTTCTCATATGGGGTGAGGCCGCTAACTTGCGCTTTACCCCAGAGTGTTTGTGCTACATATATCACCACATGGCCTTGGAGCTCAATTACATTCTCGACGACCACATTGATGAATACACCGGCCAGTTTTTTGTACCCTCCACCTGTAAACAGTTTGGTTTCTTGGATAATGTTGTTACCCCTATTTATGTCACGATTAAGGGTGAGGTCGCCCGGAGTAGAAATGGGACGGCCCCACATTCAGCCTGGAGGAATTATGACGATATCAATGAGTATTTTTGGAGTAGGAAATGCTTCAAGAAAATTAAATGGCCTTTGAACTTGTCCAGTAGTTTTTTTTCAGCTGATAGTGAAAAACGAGTGGGGAAAACCGGATTTGTCGAGCAGAGAACGTTCTGGAACATCTTCCGGAGCTTCGATAGGTTGTGGGTGCTGTTGATACTCTATTTCCAGGCAGCTTCCATTGTTGCTTGGGCTGGGAGGGATTACCCATGGCAGGCACTGGAAAGCAGGGACGTGCAAGTCGAGCTGCTCACAATTTTCATCACGTGGTCCGGTTTGAGGTTTGTGCAGTCGATCCTTGATGCCGGGACCCAGTACAGTTTGGTCACGAGGGACACGAAGCTGCTCGGTATAAGAATGGTCTTGAAAAGTGTCGTTGCCCTGACTTGGGGCATCGTGTTTGGCGTTTTCTATGGGAGGATTTGGAGTCAAAGGGATTTAGACAGGCAGTGGTCGTACGAAGCCAACCAAAGAATTCTTGTATTTCTCCAGGCCGCATTAGTTTTCGTTATGCCAGAATTACTCGCTTTGTTACTCTTTATCCTCCCCTGGATACGCAATGTGATCGAGGAGGCCGATTGGCCAATCCTGTATGTTGCGACATGGTGGTTCCATACCCGAACATTCGTGGGTCGTGGGGTCCGTGAGGGTCTTATCGACAATTTGAGGTACGGCGGGTTTTGGATTTTGGTCCTTGCCTCGAAATTCGCTTTCAGCTATGTTCTTCAGATCCGGCCGCTCGTTGCCCCAACTCGAACCCTCTTAAACATGTCAGTGCAATACCAGTGGCACGAGTTCTTCACCAGCACTAACCGAGTGGCCGTGGTGATGCTGTGGGCTCCTGTAATTCTAATCTATCTCATGGATCTTCAGATATGGTACACTACGTTCTCCTCGCTCGTGGGGTCCTTGATAGGTCTGTTCTCCCACATTGGTGAGATTCGGAACATCAACCAGCTGAGGTTGAGGTTCCAGTTCTTTGCGAGTGCACTTCAGTTCAATCTGATGCCCGAGGACCAGACTCTGATCCCGGTGGCCACCATCGTGCACAAACTCCGTAATGCAATGCACCGTGTCAAGCTTAGGTATGGGCTGGGCCAGCCTTATAAGAAGATGGAGTCGAGCCAGGTCGAGGCCACGAGGTTTGCCTTGATATGGAATGAGATAGTGATCACCCTAAGGGAGGAGGACTTGATTAGCGATCAGGAGCTGGAGCTCCTCGAGCTGCCCCCCAATTGTTGGGACATTAAAGTCATCCGATGGCCATGCGCTCTACTGTGCAATGAGCTTCAGCTTGCCCTGAGCCAGGCTCGGGAGCTTGCGGACGAGCCTGACAGATGGGTGTGGACTCGGATATGCAAAAACGAGTATAGACGTTGTGCGGTCACTGAGGTTTATGACAGCCTGAAGTATTTGCTGCTCAAGATCGTCAAGTACGGCACGGACGAGCACTCGATAGTGACGAAATTCTTCACAGAGGTCGACGGCTATATAAAAGTCGAAAAGTTCACGGGGGCGTATAGGACTGCAGTCTTGCCAAGGATTCACGAGAGGCTGGTATCTCTTGTCGAGCTCCTCCTCATGCCCGAGAAGAATGATGTGGATAAAGTCGTGGATGTATTACAGGCATTATACGAGCTTGCCGTCCGTGAACTCCCGAGAGTGAAAAAGTCGGTGGCCCAGTTGAGGCAGGAAGGGCTGGCAGTCCCGAGCCCGAATGCCGGTGCTGGACTGCTTTTTGAGAACGCGATTGAGATGCCGGGTGCAGACGATGCCTTCTTCTACAGGCAGCTGCGCCGCTTGTACACTATACTTAATTCCCGGGACTCGATGCACAACGTTCCGAAAAATATCGAGGCCAGGAGGCGAATTGCCTTCTTTAGTAACTCCGTGTTCATGAACATGCCGAGGGCTCCCCAGGTCGAGAAGATGATGGCCTTCAGCGTCCTCACTCCCTACTATGATGAAGAGGTGTTGTTTGGAAAGGAGATGCTGAGGAGTCCGAACGAGGACGGGGTCTCCACTTTATTCTACCTTCAGAAAATTTATGAGGATGAGTGGGCAAACTTCATAGAGCGCATGCGTAGGGAAGGAATGAGGGACGATGGGGAGATCTGGACGACTAAAACGAGGGATCTCAGGCTCTGGGCCTCGTACAGGGGCCAAACGCTGTCCCGCACGGTGAGAGGGATGATGTATTATTACAGGGCTCTCAAGATGCTATCTTTTCTTGATTCGGCCTCGGAAATGGACATAAGGCAAGGGTCGCAGGATATTCCTTCTCTCAGCTCGATGAGAGGGAGCAGTGGCGTAAATGTTCATATCTCTCGTAATCTTAGCCGGGCCGGAAGCAGTGTGAGCCTGCTTTTCAAGGGGCATGAGTTCGGGGTCGCCCTCATGAAATTTGTCTATGTGGTCGCCTGCCAGATGTACGGTGTCCACAAAGGGAAGGGAGACCCACGTGCCGAGGAGATTCTGTATCTGATGAAAAATAACGAGGCCCTCCGGGTCGCGTATGTTGACGAGGTCCGTTTGGGAAGAGACGAGGTGGAGTATTACTCGGTATTGGTGAAGTACGATCAGCAACAGAGGAAGGAGGTCGAGATCTACCGGATCAAGCTGCCTGGCCCGTTGAAGCTCGGTGAGGGAAAGCCTGAGAATCAGAACCACGCAATAATATTCACGCGCGGGGATGCGTTGCAGGCAATCGATATGAACCAGGACAGCTACTTTGAGGAGGCCATCAAGATTAGGAACCTCCTGGAGGAGTTCAAGGCGAACCATGGCATTCGGAAGCCCACCATCCTGGGGGTTCGTGAGAACATATTCACTGGCTCAGTCTCGTCCCTCGCCCGTTTCATGTCGGCCCAGGAGATGAGCTTCGTCACCTTAGGGCAGCGGGTCCTGGCGAACCCATTGAAAGTCCGGATGCACTATGGGCACCCGGACGTGTTCGACCGGTTCTGGTTCTTGACTCGAGGTGGCATAAGCAAGGCTTCTCGGGTGATCAACATAAGCGAGGATATTTACGCTGGGTTCAACTGCACGTTGAGAGGTGGCAATGTGACCCATCATGAGTACATACAGGTGGGGAAGGGTAGAGACGTGGGATTAAATCAGATCTCGATGTTCGAGGCTAAAGTCGCCAGTGGCAATGGAGAGCAGGTCTTGAGCAGGGACGTTTACCGACTCGGACACAGGCTCGATTTCTTCCGGATGCTATCTGTTTTTTACACGACAGTCGGATATTACTTCAACACAATGGTGGTGGTGGTGATGGTGTACGCGTTCCTGTGGGGCCGCTTGTACCTCGCCCTCAGTGGCGTCGAGGACCACGCGAGAAACGCCGGTAACAATGCGGCCCTTGGCGCTGTTGTGAACCAGCAGTTTGTGATCCAGATAGGCATCTTCACGGCCCTCCCAATGATCGTGGAGAATTCGCTCGAGAGAGGCTTTCTCCCCGCCATCTGGGACTTCATTACCATGCAGCTGCAGCTCGCCTCGTTTTTCTACACTTTCTCGATGGGCACGCGCTCGCATTATTTCGGGAGGACCATTCTGCATGGTGGGGCCAAGTACCGGGCCACCGGTCGTGGGTTTGTCGTGCAGCACAAGAGCTTCGCCGAGAATTACAGGCTGTATGCCCGGAGCCATTTTATTAAAGGTATCGAGCTCGGGGTCATTTTGATAGTGTATGCCTCGACGAGCCCCTTAGTTGTCAACACCTTTGTTTATATAGTGATGACGGTTTCCAGTTGGTTTTTAGTGGTCTCGTGGATAATGGCGCCGTTCATCTTTAACCCTTCGGGTTTCGACTGGCTGAAAACCGTGTACGACTTTGATGATTTCATCAACTGGATATGGTACAGGGGTATTTTGGTCAAAGCGGACCAAAGCTGGGAAACTTGGTGGTACGAAGAGCAGGACCATTTCCGAACGACGGGTCTGTGGGGAAAACTGCTCGAGATCATTCTAGACCTCCGATTCTTCTTTTTCCAATACGGGATCGTGTACCATTTGAACATCGCGGCTAACAACAGGAGCATCGCTGTTTACTTGTTGTCTTGGATTTATTTGATTGCGGTTGTGGGTATATACATAGTAATGGCGTATGCTCGGGATAAGTATGCAGCCACGGAGCATATCTACTACAGACTGGTTCAGTTTCTCGTGATTTTGGTGACGGTGCTCGTTGTCATTTTGCTTCTGCACTTCACGGACGTTAGTGCTCTCGATTTCATCAAGAGTTTGCTGGCGTTTGTGCCGACTGGGTGGGGGATTATACTTATAGCTCAGGTGCTGAGGCCTTTTCTGCAGTCGAGCGTGGTTTGGGAGACTGTCGTGTCCTTGGCCCGACTGTATGATATGATTTTTGGGCTGATTGTGATGGTCCCATTGGCTTTTTTGTCGTGGATGCCCGGGTTTCAGCAGATGCAGACGAGGATACTCTTCAATGAGGCCTTTAGCCGGGGGCTTCAGATTTCGCGTATTTTGACAGGAAAGAAGTCGATGGACACGTACGACTCTTGAGGTAATTCGCGCGATGAAGTTCGTCTGATATTTTGAATTTCTGTTCTGCAAAATGAATTGAGGTAATTCGCGCGATGAAGTTCGTCTGATATTTTGAATTTCTGTTCTGCAAAATGAATTTCCTTTGATTCTGTTGGATGAAATCATAGGGCATGAATGAATTTGCAGGTTATCAGGGGACAGCTTGTGGATTCAGTGTGTGAATGAGAGCCCAGAGTAATATTTAGCTTTAGCATTAGTGTACGCAAATTTTGAGTTATATATACAAGTAATTTAAGATTCTTTCCTGTCATCAGCGAATAAATTCTTTTATCTGTTGTTATGTACACATTGTTTTCTTTTGTTGTCCAACTTGCCTCAACAAGAGTTTATATATTTACTGTGGAATTAATTATAAATAAATATGCAATAAATAACGAATTAATAAAATATATTATTACTATTATTGTACCAAATTCTAAAGTAATCTTTGTACCAAGGTTATAAAAACCAGACCGGACTGGCCTGTTCAACCGGGAACCGCCCTTTGTACCGGTCCGGTTCATAGGACAAAACCAGTTATGGCAGGAACCGGTGAAGAACTGGCAAAACTGGTGCAAAAGACAACATTTCATGATTTTAAAACCGGTGAAGGCCACCATTTTCAATGTTGTGTACAAAGACAACATTTCATGATTTTAATGTTTGAATTTTGCGACGAAATTATTGACTAATAAGTTCACAATGGAAGGCGATTAAACTTTAGAAAAGAATGTGATATTAAACCCAACAAAAGATCAATCGTCAAATCCATTGTTTTGCTTGCAATTGTAGTGTTGGCTTACAGTGGTGAGTGATGGCTGTGGTGGTGGTGGTGACAATGTTGATGAAGGGTCAAATTTAGTGCTCTTGAAAAATATACAACTACATCATGAAAAATGAAACATGAACGCATTTATCTATGTTGTCCAGAAAGGCAGCTCTCTTCATCAAAACAGAGCACACAAAGCAATATTATAAGCATCAAGATGCAGGAGAAACCCACTTAGCTCATATGGCTGGATAAAAGAGAGAATAAAATGAAACTAAAACTTAAACTCTCAGCTGTACTATAACTAGTGTTTTCCTCCCATGAAGACATCAAATCTGGTTAAGACCGTCTGCACATCAAAAGAAAATATTCAAGATCATTCAGGGCCGGCAACAGGCACTTTCTCATAAGCTGAACTCTGCCAGAATCTCCTTACTAAAATGCATTTCCCTCCATACCTTTGCTGCAAGTAAATCAGAACAACCAATAGAGAAGCCTCAACAGATATGATAATATCCCACGCAGTCGAATAGTAGTCCAGTCCAGGGTTTGCGTAAATGTAACCAAACGACCGGGTATGATTATGAGACCAGTAAAGGTCATACACATGCGGAAGCAAACGAACAAGACTGGTCCCAACATAAAAGGAAGGGACAAGAGCCTTCTCTTTTGAGTCAAAAAATATGTTGAACACAACCTGAGGCAGCAAAAAGGCATCCAATACCAACCCACCATACGATTTCAAGTCGCCCCATAAGGATTGTGGCTGCTTCACCCTATAATGCAGACTATAATGCAGACCTACAAACGGTGGCCTTCTGCTCGGGTTTCTTGACTGGTGGACAAGCCACGCAATCAAGCCGCCACCAATATATAAAGGTGCCAAAAGATATAAAACTTTCTTTTCATGTGTCCATGGATTTTTCTGGCTTTCGTTGGTTGACCTTGCGGACCAGGTCATTTGGAGAAGACGAAATTCCAGTAAGAAGGCTACCATGGTAATTACCCTCACTAGTACCTCGTTAACTTCAACCCACTCGTCCCCACCTAAGTAAACATCAAAACTTTTGCGGCCCCTTGTGAAGACAGCTTCAAAATTCAATAACAGAGGGACAAGATGTCCTAGAGTGAGAACAACAAGCATGACGACTGAAACAAAGGGCAGCACATTTGCATGCCTTTTGACATGCACTATTTGCAGACCCGCAAAAATGCACAAAAGCGTGTTGGAAACAAGGACCATGGTGATCTCCATATCCATCCTCCATATGGAGTCTTTGGGTGCCGAAAGCGAAAAAACTTCTAGAGGTTCGAAGTAAAGACGGTCGGATTTATCTCGTGTGCTTTTAATATTTCCTTTCACACCATGTCCATCGTTTCCATTCTCCGGGGGATACCACAAGTCAATCAGAATTTCACAATCCAGGGACGAGTTCCCCCTTACTCTCACTTTAGGTGGCACAACACTCATACACCCGATCATGCAGAGGTGCCCATTTTCAGGGTCATAACTTCCTTCTGCCGAGATTTCAATTGATCTGATTTGTTTGTGCTCATTGCTGATCTTGAAATCTTGCTCTGCCTTGAAGGTTAGAATATAGCTTATGTTAACCATATGACCAGGGTTTTGCTGTTCCATTCTGTACATGGGGGGAAACATGTAAAGCTGACTGCCCACGTAAACAGGGGATGAGTAACCAAAAAGATCGGGCACTTTCTTACTTCTGACAATCACGTCAAAACGCATATTAGAAGATGTTGCATTAGGGTAAATTTTTTTCCCTGTTTTCTGAGTTGTCTTGTTTGCACAGGATCTCTTGGTATTCTCAATCTCCGTGTACTCGTACCTCAAACCAGGTGCTTTTACATGTGAATTACTTAAGCTTGTCAGCGTCACCCGTTCAAAATAGCCCGTCTCATTAACACTTCTACTGCTCCAAAGTTCCCCAACTACAGTGCTCCTTTCTCTCAATGTCCACCGAGCTGGAAATCTCAAACTTAATCTGATCAAACACTCCCCTACAAAACCCTCATCCCAATCACTAAAAATTCGGCAGCCAACCATGTTGAGCCTCTTTTGTTTTGGGTCCCATTTCCCTTCACTAACCAAGGTCGCATTTGGTTCCAGTAGCACATGATATCCGCTAACACCGAAATCTTCAAACTTCAACAAGAACCTCACTCGACCGTCATCCAAACACTCGATTACGTTCAGGTACATCACACTGGGCATGAAACTGTTATTTCCTCTCCCAAGGAAATTGCAGTTCACGCCACTGCAGGCATTCTCATACTCCAATTCGAACTTCCGTGCAGATATTAGGTAAGAGCATGGCTTCTGCCCCAGATCCTCCAGTCCTAAAGAGACACTCGAAGTATCATTCAACGATGAGAAAACAGTAGTTTTGATTTCCTTATCAATCAACTCATACTTATAATTCCTCGTGTTCACACCAAGTATCGATATCGATCTGGGTTCAGAAAGATTTCCGGAACTAGCATCTAAAATCTCCAGCGTCCCATTAACCAGACTGGTGAATATACTAGAAGAATTCAAATAATCAAGCTTCAAAACAACACGATTAGAATCTCGGTTACCGGACCCAATCATGCAGAGCTTCCCAGAGCTCCAATCCCAAAAGCCGCTCATGTACCGCAGGCCGCCCGACGTCAACGGAATCTTAGGCGGCCGGACATGCACTAGGCGCAGTCCCCGGCGCGAGTGATGAGAAGGACCCCGCACACGTCTCAGGTTCAGCACCGCATCGATTTTGAAGATGGTATCCTTCTCGGTTCTATATGCTTTCTCAGTGAAGAAGGAGAGGAACCTGGGGACCGCACAAACATCCTTGTCTGTAATGTTGACGCTGCAGCCAACGTAGGCGCGCTGAAGGGAGAGAAAGTCGCGGCCGACGAGTGGAGGATTAGAGTCCGGAAGCAACGGCGTGTCTGACACCACGTCGCCGCAATGATCGGTGTACGAGATTCCCACGGCACCAGCGCCGGCGAAGAATAGGAGGAAAACAACCACCGTAGACGAGAACCCGGCGAATCGTGGGTTGCATCTGGGTAATGGGATTGAGTAGTGAGATTTTGCGGTCGATTTTAGGGTTTGTGGAGGTGAAGATGAGAGGATCTCCATGGATGGGGCGGTTTTGAATCTAAATTTTTGGATTTCCAGAGCCTTTCCTAAAATGTGGAATTTAAAGTAGGGAAGATGTTACGAAATCATTTCGTCGAAATTTGTAACCATTAAGTCAACTATATATCTGACGATTACATGATGATTAAATGGTTACAAATATCGATAGAATGGTATTCCGTAAAAGAACCGTAGAGCATTTCCCATTTAATTAGAGTAATTTAGGTAAATTGTGATGAAAAAATAGGTGGTAGAAGTATACTTCATAATTCCATGACAATTGACATCAGA